GAGAGATAATTAGATTCTCGGAGCTTAAGGAACGCCGGGCGTCGCCCGGCGTTCCTTAAGCTGTTGGTGACTCCAGTTACCCACTTCGAAACTTTAGCTACTATGCTTCCACCTTAAAAAAACAACACTAAAATAGGAAAAAAGTTTTCTTAGGCTATATATCGGACAGATATCTTTTAGGTTATTTTCCATGAAAAAAACAATTTTCCGCCAATATTTACGCCGTTAGACGCAATATAGGTGGAGGTCACGCCCCGCTCTAAGCCCCACCCACAGATCAATGACCCCGCCCAATACGCCTGGATTGGCTTGGCTGCTCGGCCGAACACGCTCGCAAGTCGTGGTGCGTCGTCTTTTGTCTCAGCACTGCCTGCTAGTCGCGCGAGCAGACGCGCGGCAGCCTCTGGCATCGTCTGCTGTTCCACCACCCTGCTATTCCGTAGGGCTAGTCAACTGATAAAGACGTTTTGCAGCAGCTTTGCATAGGCGCAACCATAACCGACCTTCAGTTTTGTTTCTTCCGATTGCGTTCGCTTCACTTCATCGTTGCCACAGCGGGACAGGTTGGTGCCACTTCAGGTACTACGTGTCCTCCTTTTACAGCGGAGCTGTTAAGGGCTAATTTCCCCAGTATCGTGTTAGCCAGAAAACAAATGATGACACAAAACTCTGGACAGCTACCCCATCTATGAGTTACGACGGCAACCAAACAACCGGCAAGCCGATTGTCTCGTTGCCACCGTCGCGCATAGATGGCTGCAACATTTCCAGCCTTTCCACTCTGGCTTGCCGACTTGCGGCCGGCCATTACTTCATTCCCACCTTAGCACAGCTTCGCTGGTCTTCCTTCTTCATCAAAATAAAAAAAAACTAAGTTTTTGTTTGTTTAATGGCATAGGTTTTTATGGAGGTTTGTCGCCCGCTTCAGTGCCTCGGCATCTCGGAAAGAAAAAAGGTCGGCAATGGGTGGCTCAATTCGGCGCGCGCTTAAGGCGAATATACCCTATTCACCCTTAAGCTCAGACTGCAGCCAAAGCTACGAGCGCGAACTAGCCCGCGCTCCCATGGCTTTGAGACGTGCCTTTCAAGCGCGAGTGCTCGTTCTGCGGAAGAACGCTTCAAAGCAGCAACCTCGAGCTCTCGTGCTGTCTCAGCTTAAGGACAGAGCCTTTTATACTGAGAGAGTTCGGCGGTTCTTTGATCCAGCCGCCAGTCTGGCAGCACTGATCAAACAGTCTGGCAACTGTGCGCATCCGCCATGATGTGCCTTGCCGTCTAGCTTGATTGCACCTTTGCATTTAATTGCATTATAATTATAACCTTAAATTGCAAGCTTCACCCTTGTTTGGTGTAAGGCTGGTGGCGGCTGATAAAACCCGTTTGCCCTACTGATTCGAGCCGGCAGTCGGCTCGCTATAGTCCATGGAGCGAGAGACGACGATGAAAATGATCGTTCTGCGCTGCGCTCTGCCAGACGTTAGATGAAAAAGAAATGGGGGGCTGCAGTGCCGTTGGGTGCTCGAACAACGCGAAAAAGGGGTTCAGGATGTACCGGTTCCCGCAAGGAAAAGAAAACCGCGCAAGGCACAAGATCTGGGAAACCAAACCAAGAAGGGCTGACTGGAAGCCGAGTTCTCGATTGTGCGAGGTAAGTTTATGATTAACGTATGATTAACGTAACAAAATTATTGATTTTTCGACTTTCTCCTTACGCCAAGAAAAGCGCAAACGGCAAAACCTACACGCGTATACATCGCATGTCAATGGGGACCCACTCGCCGGGAGGCACATCATGGCGGAAGCGGTGCCCGATGAGTCCGCTAGACCTAGCGGGCCGTAAGCGCCTCCCACCCGCCGAACTCTCCCAGTATAAAAGGCTCTGCTTAAGGATGGACAGAGTATAGATCTAAGACTGTTGGGTCAGTTGCACTCAAGAACTTGGGCTACTCGATTTCCGAAGAAAAATTACGGGTGCATACCTAAAGAACCTTGATGCAAGCCAAACGCCCGATCACCTCCAGCCAAGTTGCTCGCAAAATCTTACCTGTCCTAGTATCTCCTCGGTATTGAAATCAGGTTTGCAATCACGACGGTTGCAGGATTCACAAATTAGCAGGGTCGCTTCTGCGGGAACCAACATCTTTATTCAGCATCAACATGCGAAGAACAAACAAATTAAGCCAGATCAAGCAACATACAGGGTGGATCAAAGGGATCGATTGCAGTTTGAAGAGACGGCATACATCGGTTTCTAAACGTATCAAGTTAAGATTTTCTACAGGTGGCCGACGAAGGTGCATTAGGGCATAGAATTTCCTTTGAACAAACGTACTTGTAAAAACAGGTAGAAAAAACTTGAAAACCCTACCACGGCGACCACCTGCTAACCAAAGGTGCCTGATTGGCGCAACAGTCGACAGATGTCAGCAGTGCTGGAGGCGTGCGCCCGAAACATTTCGCTATGAGTAGATGTATCTATTGAATAGAGTGACCATTTCTTAATAAGTTCTTTTGACAAACTTGCATAATTGCTGATGTCTTCCTGTTAGTTACCGGGACGACTCGTACCCAGTTTTTGTTAGGAGTTCAAGGAAATCAGACAGCGTCTATTGAAAACGTAACGGCGATTCAACCAGCTATTATAAGAGACTCCAAACATTTGTATCAATAGGGCCTCAACCCAAGGTTTTCCATTAGGAAGCAATAGGCTCGGCACTATAAAAATGGTGTGGAAAAACAATGTCCTTTCAATAGTCTGACAAACTGTCGCCGCGACGAATTACTCCATGACGAAATGCCCTATATGACGGACTGCCCTGCTCCCAATTGATCAGCTAAGAATTGTTTTTCGACGGGACGACCCGTAGCCCGGTCGCGTATGGGCTGCAACTGGTTTTAGGTGCAACCGCTTTGTCCCGATAGATTTTCTGATGCGCCAAGCGTCACACCCATAGAAAGTAACAGCTATTCATACAAACAATAAACCAGCCGCGTTATTACCATTGAAGCTAAGTGCTCAATTTTTATTCTTGAAGATAAAACTTTGAAAGATCTCCTTTCTTGTGACGAACTCACAGTTTTATAAGTATACATCATGAAATGCGGTTTAAAACCAACTTTTGCAATAAACATGCAGTGCATGTTGTCGCATATAAAGCCCACTTGTATAGGGTGTCATAAATTGAAGGTGCCCTAGTAAATTATGCCGGAAACTCCTTGTCAGAACATAACGAGCACAAATTTTTAACCAAAGTAGGTTTTAGAGGCGGTTTTTGCCTTCTAAAATTTAAAGGTGTAGTTTTGTTTTCCTGGAAAATCAGAACGACAACCTTGAGAGTTTCAAAAGTGGGCCCCGGAATGAAGCGCCAGCGCCACCTGGCAGGTTTCGCACGAATGGCCTAACGCATAGGCCGCAGCTTTTTGCACTACCGCTGTTCTAGTTAACTGTAACCCGAGAGTCGCATTTCTGGCGCGTCGTTCGGCGTCGTCGGCTTTCGAATAAACTACTTGCATCGCCTATTGGGAGATGGCGCTACAGGCACGACTCTCGTGCTATTAGGTCGTCTCGAGTGAGGCCGTCGTTGAAAGGGTCAAGAATGTTATTTTAATTTACTAGTGGAATAGAGCTACGCCTTGAAATTAGACAATGTAAAATTCTACCACTAAAATACGCCTTTGATAAAAATGTGTGCTTATTACATGGAGACGCCGACTTTTTTGGTTCATTTAACAGCGATCCCATTGATTCATGACACTCTATATATGTGAAAAAAAATTACTTGCACCTGTTGTTGGCCGTCATTTATTAACAGGTAAATATGCGACTGAATATCAGTGTATGAAAACAAGTGTCGTTTAGCTAACTTTCGTTTGAGGCACTCGTATTGCGCATGTTTTTTTAAGAAGTACTATACAGGCAATGATGTTAGGAACCAGCTTATTATCAAAATTTTTATGTCCCAAAACATTTAAAAGTGCATCTAAAGCGTGTGCGATTAAATGCAAACGTAAGTGTTTTTTTTTTTTTTTTTTTGTCAAACAATTTTTTTTTATCAAACTTGATTAAAAGACAAATTTGTTTTCGAAAACACGTATTTCTCGTCAATCATACAATAATCAATTTTACACCAAATGTAGGGGTTACGGTAGCAATAAATAATATACATTATCTTAAGAATGTAAAACTCGTTTTTGTACAAGAATTGAGAATTTAATGCTTTGCTACGTTTCATTATGCCAACTGCAGACTACATTTAAACAGGACAAACGTTTCAAGATGACATTCGGTGCACACTATTATTATCAAACAACACGCAAGGCTCTTAATTGTCTCGGCGAAGGAATGCGTAAAAGAGAACACGCCGAAATGGCACAACAATTACGCCAAAGTAGTACATGTTCACGTTCCATTCGAAGTAGACTCAGTAACAAACAATTTGCAGAGTGTTCACACTGAACGACAAACACAGATAAATTGTTTGTTACTGGGGTAACAGCCGTCTTCCACGACTGAGTTACTGATAGTCGTCTCCAGATAGGAAGGAAAATGCCTACACAACTGTTTGGCCACTGTTCTGGGTGTCGTGACACGCTCATACCAAGGTATTTGCTTATCTACCTTCGGTACCTCGTTTTACCTTACGTCTGGACGCAGCTGACACTATACGAGCTTGATTGTACCAATCAAACAGTGTCAAGAGCGCAAGTCACTGGGCATTCCTTGTCCCCGATTGGTTCAGCGACGATAGAATACGCACAGAAACGCAACGAACCCCACGTTGGTGGACTTTTGACGCTGTTTGATTGGCCACATAAGCTCGTAGCATCGGCTGCGTTCGTACTTAAGGTCAAACGAAGTTGATTAAAAAATGCTTTAAGCGGATTACTGTTCCATATGCATGGTAAGGTTTGGTTCGGGTTATAGGGCACATCCGCGTGCTCCAGCTCAGCAAGACGCCATGCAGAAGGGTCGACGAGGACCTGTCCCGGATGACTGTCTTCTACTCCTTGCTCCTCGGGACGGAAGCACTGGCGCTTCTGGAGCCTTGCCGTCGGGTGGTGCCGCTGGCGGAGGCGCGGTCGGCCTCGTTGAAGACCTCCTGGGAGACGATCTGCTCCCGCTTGATCCGCTGCTGCACCGAGCGGGGGACATCCGGAATGATGGCGGCCACCAGGCCGGTGATGCTGAAGACCACGTGCTAAGAATCCACACAGACCCGAGAGAAATAAAGAAAAGTTTGAAAGGGAACTGCACAGCGTTTCGTACATCGTTTGTCAAAGATAGGAACAATCTCTCCAAAACAATTATTCTCTTTCTTTCTCTCTCTTCGTCCCTCCTTCCCTCTCCTTTTTCCCCCTCTCTCTCTCTTTCGTTCCAATTTTAGCTAATGACTTTCTTAAAAGTCGTGTCTGTGTTGCGGCCGTTCTCGCTTTGCCTTCTGTGGATGGACATATCGTTCGCGTAGAAAACGAAATGTGGTTCGATGATATACTAAACACTTTTTATCTAAACTTGTCAATAATGTTTTGTCGAAACCACCACCCAGTTTTAAATCATCGCTGTTTTTTTTTTTTTTGTTTTTTTTTTTTGCTGACAGTAAGGCAGTTTTGGTCACACCGGTCCAAACCTAATCGTACATAACGACATAACTATAAAGTTAGATTTGCATCCGAGGGCCTATTCGACTATTAATTCACTTACAGAGAATGACACGACCAAAATTGAACCTCGGTAGTGTCAGTTACAATGAAGTCACAGTCAGACGCACCAACACACTAATGAAAACTGCCCAAAACTTATACGTCGTTTGCTCCGAAGAAAATTGGAGTATTAAATCTCACCGAGAGCTTAAAGGGTCACTGACAGGGAGTTTATGCCAGTGTTGTACGCGTTCCTCAAAAAAAGGAACGAAAGCTCGTTCCTCGTTCCTTCTGATTTTTGGAACGCGTTCCCGTTACAAGTTACATCTGTGAAAAAGGAACTCGTTCCCGTTACAGTTTCAAAAATGGAACCTATCGTTACATATACGTTACATTTGTATTTTGCTAATCACTATATTTACTTTCTTCAAGCAGAGTTTTTTTGTTTGTTTTTTATCGGTCCCATTAGGAGTCAACTTACGAGTTTGTATGTCGTGATGGAAGGGCACCAGGGAAGAAAACAAGCGGAAGCAGGGTTTCATCTGTTGATATATTCAAGTTAAAAATCTCAGCTTTTAACCAAATTCATGCTTGTAGTGGACGATTCAGACGAGCCGAATGTACTTTTACCCAACATTGTATGAGAGTTTTACAGCAACCTCACACGTTTCGATCGAGCGAAGTCCCTTGTTCGAACTAGTTGCTTCTCGATGTTGCTGTCCGCAAGACGAGCAAGTCGAGGAGAGGGTAGGGCTTTTGGAAGGATTCCGAGTCAAGAGGTCCAACGAGTCAAAAGATCCAGTATTGGACCTTTTGACTCGTTAGATCTTTTGACTCGTTGGATCTCTTGACCAGAAGCGTTTTGGAACGTCAGTCTTAAAAACTACAAATACTTCTTTGTAAGGTTGGCTTTGTTGTTCATTTTGGAGGTGAAGGGGACAAGAGAAGAAATATTTTTTTTTTTTGTATCTTTTATGTGACCAATGTTCGGGACACAAGGGTGCGTTCGATGTCTGGCAGTCTGTGATCTTGTTGTAACTGTAGGTCTCGCTATGGAAGCTCACAAGTGGCTGTAGTCGGCCTTAGCTTTCTGGGTGCATGATGATTCGTGGAACCAAAGAAGGTAGCTGAGCTTGAAACAACCCTCTTTCTTTGTCTTGCCCTACGACTAAAAGCCTTGCTTTTTGTACCGCAGTTTCGGGCACTAAAAAAGAATCAATGTCCACCAGCTCTCCTGCACCCGAAAGTGTTAGCAAGCGAGGACCACACAAAATAATCCACAATATTATTAGGCAAAAAGGTAACGACATTCTGCACTTCGTAGAGATATTGTTTTGGCACTTTCAAAATTCCCGGTTCGAAACAAAATAAAATTTACCCCACTGGACGAAAAAAAGGAACGCCGTTACTCTTTCCGTTCCAGTAAAAATGTAACGCGTTCCCGTTCCAGTTCCAGCGATGCAAAATGGAACGGCGGCGTTTCTTCGTTCTTTCTAAAAAGAACGCGTTCCAGGAACGCCGTTCCTTGGAACGCCTTTCCGTACAACACTGGTTTATGCTCGCCAAGATTTTCATTTGGGCATGACATATGAAAGCCCTACTATATCCAGAACACAATATGCGGCTCGAAATTCGTTTTGTTTCCGCCCAAAAACCGCCGATCGAGAACTGGCCGGTCTGAGTCGCGCTCACTCTCTTCTCCGTGGTCACGTGCCGTTTTCTATGGTTTAGACACAACTACCAAATGTAATCATAGTCGTGGGTCATTCGAGGGCACACATTCAAAGTTAAGAAAGAAAAATAAATATCATACTCATTTTCGTGGCTTCTAAAAAGCTGCAAAAATGTTGAAGGAAAAAAGAAAAGTTGCACAGCCACGTGATTTTTGGCAACGCTCTCTCTTTTTGTGTTTCTTCTTCCTCCCCAGTTTAGTTTCGGTTTCGAGCAGTTGCGTTTTCTTTTTCTTACTTTTTGAAAAAATACGCGTGACGCTGTAGGAGAATATTGATTGGGTAGTCTTCTGATACCGTGGTAAATCACCTGGCAAAATAGTAATAAAAAAATTGGGGGGGGGGGGGGGGGGGGTTAGGGTGTCAGTGTCCCTCTAAAGGGGCCCTGCAGGACTCTTTTTACTGGTTTTCAATTTGCACAAAACCTGAGCGCATTGAACTTAGCAACTTAATTAAAACTTTCTTTACTCGAATTTCGCTTTATTTTATAAGTTATAGGCCAATTAAAATTACAAAAACAAGCAAAAAATAACCTCCTTCATGACGTCCTTGGTTGCTTGAGCGGCCGTGAACTAGAGGACGGGTAGTGAGCTCAGCGAGCGCTCATGGCAGCCGCACTCCGTTTCGACGGCTTCAGAGGGCGCCACTAAAGCATGCGTTGAATAGGGCGTATGAAGCGGGCAGCCAGGGCGGCTCGCATTGCATGTGCTGCGCGATTTAACACCAATTCGGCATGATACTTCATTGGCCACAAACGACAGCAAACACGGGGTAAAGATCAGTTCAGAACTGGAGCCACTTCGCGCTGCCATACCGCCAAAGGGCCAAACCACAAGCCAAAGCTGCTTGCCGAAGCCCTTCGACACGGTCGGAACCTGTCAGATCCTCGACTGCAGCGCCGCCGCGTATATCCGGGACCTTTCTACGCTCGCCGCTCGTCGGCGCTTGATCCCACTACTCCTTTCTAGTATGCGCCGCCTTTTTCACCGCTTGGTGGCGGGTATGTGGACGGGTCATTTCTTGTTTCCGTACTTTTTAAACTGCATCTGTTGCTTTTCTGATCGAAAATAGTGAACAAAAACTATACCTTTATACATAGTTGAAACGGCTCGCGCTACTTATGTTTTGTATTTCGACTGAAAAGAAGCTTTCAGCGGCTCTGACCAGTAGAAAGGCTAGGACGTAAAACGTCACGATTTTGTCACATATTGCGCGCTTTCGGCACCGCGGCTCGTCTCCGTAGGTGGAGGAGGTTTTCGCGTCGTCCGCTTAAGATATGACGCACTGATATTTAGTTACTCTCTCCATGCACGCTGGCTTGCCTGAACCCCAAGAGACGTGGAAACCGGAAAAAAGGTAGACGCTTAAATATGATAGCAGGGCCCCTTTAACGCGTGGCGAGAGTTTGAGCAGAGCCTTATGGTTACGGATTGAATCAAATTATGGCATTGACCGATAAGAAATCAAATTTGCGAGAAACGCGAACACGAACAGGCTTTACGGGAATAGAGACTCACCCGAAACGAGCAAGCTGCAGTACAGCGTTGGACAGAATAAAAAATGTTTTGTAATAGTCCGTTTCACCTTAAGGCAAACATCCGATGGGAATCAATCAAGCAGCTCGAAAAGTGCGTCGTCATGGTGCTCGTCGCTCTTGTGCACTTGTTGTCGCAGGTGAAACAAAATCACGCGCAGTGAACGCGGCGTGATACCGGTAATTTGTCTGCGCGTCACTCATTTAGCCGGTAATTGGGAGTTTTAGGGAACGATGGGCCCTCCGGTAACAAACCGCGCATATGCAAGTCTTCTGCGGCAGCGCATGCGCAGTGCGCATACTTGAGGGCCCGTAGTACGGTATCGGATGTGCCAAAAACGGTTCCCTAATCTCTCTATGACCACGCGCACAAGAACGACGAGCGCCATGACGGTACACCTTTTTGGCTCCGCTTGATTTGGCTCCGTTATGATCGTAGCGTCGACAGCGGTCGGCGTTGGAGTGAAAGGGAGTAGGAAAGAGCATCGGCTCACCTCAAACACAACGACGAAGAAGAGTCTGGCAGCAAAGATGTGCCAGTAGGTGAGGGTTAGCTGATACTGGGAGGGTCCACCGGGGGGCTCCCTGTAGTCCAAATACCTGCCCCGTTTCGCGAATTAGAAATAATAATAAAGAGGGAGTTTTATGTTTTCTTTTACTTTGTGTCCGACTGGAGCCGACACTACAACTCAATATAGCCAGTAAAGAAGCTCAAAAACATGCCACGGTAACGGCGCTCATTTGATATGTGTGTTTGCTATTCGGAGCGCAAGTCCGTCCGGTTCTTTTGCATGGGTTCTGGTGACGTCAGAAGGCCGAGCTCTGATTGGCTTTGGTTGAAAGGATAGTGGGCAGACCTTAATGCTAGACGCCTTATGGTCTAGCCACTACTTTTTTTTCTTTTTCAATCAGCCAATAAGGGCTCGGCGTTCTGACATCATTGCAGTTCCTATGCGCGAAGCAGACGAACTTGCGCTTCGCATAGCAACGGCAGCGGTCTGACCTTAAAGTGAGACAGAGCACAGGGTCGATCGTTTCTGCATTCCGACAACAATACCCGATAACGATGCGTTGAAGAAGTTGTACGCGACCGATCGAGAACGCATTTTAACAGACTGTATCGTAAAAGACCGTATGATACTATTGGCTGGAGTGACGTGAGGTTTCTTCGAATGAAGCCAGCGTGCCGCCATCTTGCAATAGTTCGCGAAAAGGCATGCCTCGGCATCTCGCAAACAGTGCGCCCTCTTTTGTCTAGCAAGCTTTTTATACAATCTAAAGCCGCGGTTCCACCGCTAATACACCATAGAAAGGGCAGTATGCAGACACTAAAGAGTTTCAGGTAGCCGTTTTTGCACGCCCGATACGCATATGCTAGTCCTCTGTGGTTGCGCATGCGCAGTGCGGACCGGAGGGTCCATCGTACCATATCGGATGTGCAAAAACAGTTCCCTAAGACTCTCTACTGTCTGAAGAATGTCTCTTGTGTCACAAAATAAAAAAAGAGTGTCTTTAGACATTTTCGAAGAATGCGCAGCTAGGCATGAGCGAACATCTGCATGTGTTCTCTTCTCGGATCACGCCACCGTCGCGTGCCAGCGAAGAAATGAAACGAATAAAAAGTCATTTCGCACCTGCACTGCTTGACGACAACACCGTCCAGAGTACCGTTCTCGGGACGGGCGTCGTCGTCGAAGTCTTTCGTGTCGAAGACGGCCAGAGTGAAGTTGACGTAGCCTCGGAGCGAGTGGCTTCCCGAGTGTACCATTCGGTAGAGTATTCGGGGCGTGAAATCGCTCGTGTAGGCGATGAGAAATGCCTGCGACGAAGGAGGCTCTCATCACGATCATCATCATCATCATCATCATCGAAATTCGACGCAGAGATGAATACACTTAGTTTTCTAATAGGCACTACGGTTGACCTTATACACCAAAATCCCTGACGTCATCATCAAGGCGAAAAGGCTCGTTTGCACACTTGCAACCTCTTACGACCGACCAAGTGCATTACGACCTCTTGTGATAATTTACGACACGAGAAGACAGATACGCCACCTATTGTGTAGCCGTGGAACATCTGGCTGTTCCTTATATTTCCTATTTATTGTCGAGAACGGTTATAACGAAGCCGACGGGAATTGGAAATCACTTCGCTATATCCGCTATTTCGTTATAACCGAATTCGGTTATAACGAGGAGCAAAATGGAATGAAAAATCGTGATCGCTTCGCTGTAACCGCCATTTCGTTTTAACTTATAACCGACTTCGTTATAACCAGTCTCGCCAGTATTTCCCGCATCATCCTCGGTTTGAGAAAACGTTTGACAATGTTATAAACGAACATTTATTATGTATACATTTTGTCTCGTTAATACCGCAAAACATTGGTTCTAGTGAAAAGCCTTTCTAGGGCCACCTCACAGATGATGCCAGCGTGTCAGTGTGTGTTGTCCAGTCGTAAGATGTCACAAGAAATCGTAATTTACTCGGTTATAAGCAGTCACAAGGTGTGAATCGTACTCAAGTGCTACGTCATAAACGTGACTTGCTTTATAGAACGCGTTTTAAGTGCCAGAATAAGGTACGAATATTACAGTATTAGCCTTATTTAAAAAAAAAAGTATCTGACGCATTATTTTTGTTAAGATACAAATCTTGAGTTAAAAAAAAAAAATTCCGAAGCATGATTGTCTTGCCAGATTCCACCCTAAAATAGAAGAATATTTCGGAACTGCTCTCAAAATCGGTCTACAAGAAATATTACGCTTTTCTTGGAAATTTAATTATGTGGAATTTACATATATGCGTGTCCTATCCAGGCATCGTAAACTGCCTTGTTTGGGAGTTCGGTGCAGCTGAATAAGGCCTTTCATATTTTCTTCTTGCGGTTTTGTGTCTGCGTATTATAAGCATTAGTTTAATAAGTTGGCACATCCCATGTTTTTTTTCACACTGAATACAAAAGACAGTGCTTCAAGAATCCCACTGTTTCCCTAGCAACGAACAAGCCACACAAAATGTCCGCGGTTCACTCAAAACTCTGTTCGAGAACGGCAGGGCGTCTTCCGAGCACCCGGACTCTGCCACGTGCTTCGTGCCATAGTTTCCTCTTTGCTCACAAAGCCTGGCAGTTCGACGACGGAGCCATACAGTACCCGGTCGCAGATTTGGAGCGCGAGAATCTGGTAGCACAGAGCATGAAAGAGCCATTTTTCGGGGGGACCAGGACGTCAGCGCACAGCTTTTGCAGCGGCAAGGACCCGAAACACACTTGTAAGCTCGGGAGAAGTGTGTTTCGGCGACCCGCCGCAGCGGGGCGCCAGTCACGTGGCTCTCCTCTCATCCGTTGCCTGCCGCTCCACTTTTTCCATTGCGGCGGCCGCTTTTCGTGGCCATGTGCCAGGCCTTGTCAGTATATTGGAGTCTATGGCCGTGCTTTTGCTGTGCGTGCGCGCTCGAGGTGCAGGAGAGAAGTGTTAGCGAAGTATAAAGAGCTCGCGTCGGAGGCAGGGCCACTGAAGCTCCTCCCGGCCGTTTTCACCTTGTCGGTGGCCTTGAGTTTTTCAAACAACCTCGTCATTTCCCTGTTTTCGACCCGGGAGCTACGGTCGGAAAGGTTTCTCGAAAGAGGAATCAGGAAATACTTGCATTGCAGACAACCGCGAAGATGGAAACGCCCTTGAGGATCACTTGCCACGCACCTGCGCGGTCATTAAAATAAAATTAGCGGGCAGCTTGATGTCACTCTAAGCACGCACAAGCACTAACTCAGCACGGCGAAAAGGTTGGGTTTAAAAAAACTGATAACAAACTTTTTCTTTTTTTGTATATTGCGAAACACGTAAAATGCAAAACAAAACAAATTTAATGTTTGGTTTTTAAATAAAAAAGAGGAGACTGCTCTCTAAATAAAAATAATAAAGCTATGTTCAAGTAGCGAGATCGATCATAAAATAACTCCCAAGGTCTGCCGCAGCATAATAACTTTTAGAATTACGGGAGACCTCGTCCTCCGGGTTCCTAGAGTGAAATGATGTCACTGCGCTACCCAGTGCACAGGCATAATTTCGCTTATATCACGTAAGGAAGGAAGCATTCGTGCGCGCATCTTACCCTAATTCTTTTCATTTCATTTATTGGTCATTTTGAAGTGGGGTTGCCAGGACAAAAGGTGCTTAATAGCACTTGACTAAGATCCCGTGCTCCATGCAGTATTTTTTTCTTTCTTTTTTAGCGGCACAACAGATACAAAACTCGCACAAATGAAATAAAAAGATTGTTAGCACATTTTTATGCAAGATATTATTTATGATCGAAAATCTGACCCTTTATTATTTAAACATTTTTTTATATATCTATCGATTTTACTATTTCGGCCATTTCCAAAATTTGAGGACGCATGTTTAGAAGTTGGAAAATCGTTTTGCTAATGTTTGTTTGCCATAGGTCATACGTACATGACCTCTTTTAAATACGTCCCGTTTTTTCTTTTTTTTTTTTTTTTTTTTATACAACGGCGCGATTGATTTCTTTTTTTTCTCCTCTCTCTAGCTTTAAGTATATTTCGTTCGATTCGTTGACGAGAATATTGACACGAAATCGCAAATAAATGGTTGTGCTACACTAAAAAAGAACGCGCACAGGAAGGAATAAACGACGTTTCGGGCGGACGCCCCTCTTCAAGTCACTTGAAGAAGGGCGTCCGCCCAAAACGTCGGGTTATTCCTTCCTGCCCACGTTCTTTTTTTTTTAGTGCAGCACAACCATAGATTTGCAATTTCGTGTTTAAGCTCATTGTGCTCGGTAGCACCCCCTTCTCTAAAACAGTGGTTCTCAAATCGGGGCCCGCGGGCCTTTTGGGGTCCGCGAAGGCATTCTAGAGATAATTAAACTTGAGGACGGACAAACACAAACACAAAACACAAACCAACCTGCCCGTTCTGTCCTTATATCGTTATTGGAAGTTTGTGTTTGTATCCCTACGAACCTGCTCGTTCTGTCCTTGGATTCTAGGGATCTACGAATCCCCGCCTCATCTGTCAAACCCGGCAATAAAAGATTTTTTTTTTTTTTTTTTTGGGGGGGGGGGGGGGGATTTAGATGAAACGTTCTAATTTTCGGGTGAGTTTTCTCCTGTTTCTATCAGTAAGACAATTTTACTTCACAATAGCCCTTAGTTACATCCTCTTATCAGATCCTCGTTATATTTAACCTAAACCTTTCCCCTACCCTCACCACGAACGGTGTCCTCCATCATCTCTGCCGATCCACAAGGGGTCTGCGAAACATCAGTGATTGAGAGCCACTACTCTAGGATATTGACACTTGCGCCCGCTTGCTCATTATCGCCGCCTGCTTGGTGGAGTTCGCAAAGCACACGGTTGCCACGCAGATAAAAGGGATCAAACCCCGATTGGAGTGTTTTTTTTTAAATAAATTGTTTAATTAGTTCTAGCCCATCCTCGTCTGTCATCGTGTGTTCTGGTTGAGGACATTCCCCAACCTACCATGTCGCCCTTCCATCTCCGGCGCAACGTGCTAGTGCCTTGCTCTTTATGTTTGTAGGTTAAGAGTCTGCCTCATTAAACGTTCATTTCAATTGTCACATAGTGCGGTCATACTACCCGTGGGCGGGCTTTCTTCGTGCAGTTTCGCCATGCCGACCATATATACAACTATATATCCCAGATTGCACAAAAGTTCGCTTTATGTACGCACGTTTTTTTCCATCTTCTTCTCGAAACAACCGTTGAGAGGAGAGTGCTACTTATAAACCGGATATTATAATATTTCAAAATTAGCGGCCACAAGAAAACAAACAAATCTTCGCTTAATAAATGAGGAAAAAAAATAACAACAAAGAAGTAAGTTCCACTTCACACCACACAACTTACAAAAAAAAAAAAAATACCGCAAACATTTACACTATATAACTGCCGAGTGCGCGCATTATTACAGTCAAGTACACACTTGCGTAAGTTGGCGACGCATGAGTTCAACTTATGGAGTATAGACCCTTTTCGAAAGTCACGTGCCGATTATCAGAAGGTCACATCCGCTGCAAAATGGCGGAACAACTGCGTCGAGGAACGTGCAAGTCATTCCATAAGATACCGAACCTCGGAGTGCGGCCAACACTACGAGCCGACGAGCCATTCATACAGCGTCGAAAGTGCATCATTACTGCGCTCATCACCTTGTCTGTGTGTGTGTTTGTTTTTCCAGTGTACCGTGGGACGTTGAGGTTTTAGTCCGCCATTGTGCAAGGATTCCACAGCTGCTAACCGAGGGCAGTATTTCGAAAGGGGTCTATTTCTTGTGGCAAAAAGGGACAGGAATCTCCGGTGTAATACATGCCTATGTTGGGCACCCTCTGGGCGAGCGGTCGGCGCAGTTGGGAGGTGTACTTGTACGCGTCCAGCCTGATCTCGACGATGTTGTTGAGGAGCGCGAACAGCGGGGCCAGCGGGAACGCGGCCACGAACAGGGTGACGAAGCCGAACTGTATCGCTGCAAAACACGACAGAAAAACGCCGCCATCGGATGAAGCTCACATTCGCGCGCTACTCGAAGCCCGAGCGTATAGCAGGAAAAAGACACCTTCCGAAATCTGCTGCTTGCAAAACAGTCACTCGTAAGGTGACGTCGCGTAAATCGGCGTAAAATAGTCATCGCGAATGTCGATTCGTATACTTATTTATAAAAAAAACGCTGCTCGCTGACAGCTTAAAAAAACGCGGAGCGTGATATGTTATCTTCACTCGCTTTTTTTGCCGCGTGCAGCCCGATTCACATGGTGCGATTTTGGTTACGAATTCGCAATGGCGAAATCGCAAGTAAAATCGCACCACGTGAGTCAGGCTTGATTCGTTTTCTGGAATCCTTCTATTGTTATCCGTGATTAGCTGTCGGCTTGTTCTGGTACAGTAAACTCACATACTTTTTTTTTTTTTAGCCTACAGTCAATGGAAGACACTCACAACTGTTTCCGTGCTTCGCTTTGCTCGCGCAAAAAGGGTAAATGTAGCGGGTCAACTTGTATTCCAATCATTCAATAAATAAACAAAAAAAAACGAAAATGGCGCTCACCCATCTCGAGGTACTCGTCAAAGAGGGAAAGCGTGGTCCACGGTTGTAGGTTGTAGTCGGCCTCCCAGCGAGACAGAGAGGACCTCTGGTCGCCCACTTCTCGGCGCATACGGTCCCGCCGCCAGGAGCGCCACCAGTTCATGAACAAACTAGAAGGAAAGGCGAGCCAGACCTGGTCTTGATCGCAGTCAGAACATCCTACAAACACTCTAACCAAATAAAAAAAAACATAAAAATAAAGGCGCTCTTTAAGACATCACAGGACATCATGACCTCACGTCCCCTACCAAAAAAAAAAACAAAAAAAAAAACAGTATAACTTTTCGTTTTCTGTTCCATGATCCAGTTTGCGAAAAGTTATACTCTTTTATTCGGTAGCATTGCACCGTGATGTTAAGTGGCACCGGGGCAATCCGATGCCACGGGACAATAGACGACGCCCTTCGTCAACACCGTTTTTAGTGGGGGGAAGAGTCCGCAACAGCTATGGTTGTAAAATAGATTACTTCGTGCGGCTCATAGTCACACCGCATGTTTGTCAATATAGTATACACCGCTATCGCGAACACAATATCGGCACTTCGCATTATACTTCGAAAGGATATTGGCTTAAACTAAGTTATACCGCTCAGTGAGTTCCCCAAATAAGGACTTCAGTTCACACCGGTAATTTTGATGACATTTTTTCGATTTAAAAAAACAACAACAAAAAAAACAGAAGAAATAAAGCCGGCAACCATTCTTCGCGTTAGCAATGTCGCGTTATGTACATATTGTGTTCAGACAGTAAGTGCACATGCGAGCTGGTGGTAGCTAATCATGTCATTTAATACCTGAGATTGTGGTGCAGCAAAGAAACAAAACTCTTAATCGAAGGAACAGACACGGAAGGGTACCTCTTAACGTCTTGAGACGTTCTCTTCTGTGTCTCTTCCTTCGACTAAAAGTTTCCTTCCTTTCTGCACCGCAGTCTTAGGTGTTAAAAACAACATATTGTGTTCGTCCTTTATACAACAGCTGATTGTTTAAAAAAACAAGCGTATGGTCTCGTTACAGCGGCAGGAACACCAATCGAAATGCGCATGCCGAAAGGCCAGGTCCCTCTATGTCAATGGCCGGAGCGCGTGCTCAGAACATTGTAAACACAAGCTCGTAACTGCGACGAACATGGGTGGCACCAGTCGATGAACGAGCGTTTAACAGATGGTTCCTTTCACGAATAGAGAAGGCTAATGCTTCTTGATTTCCCGTGGTGATTTCTGTGACACTTATGTCGCGGATATAAAAGGGAACGCGTGTTTAATGGATTACGAAAACCATGGGTTACACGGCGCAATTTGACGAAACTTAGAACCTTTAATTATATCACCAAGGTTTGCGTCAGTTGCAATCACTGTAACTGAAACGACAACAACGACTAGTGTCACCGGGACAACCATGCATGGTATATGCTCGCATGGGCAAGCAACTCAAGAAATAGTATAGGGTGGCTTCGGAGGATTCGACGCTGTAAAATAAGCCGGAAAATTGGTGCACATCGAACACCCAAACTTTCTGCGAATAAACACTAAACAGTCCAGATCGACACTGTGTAATTTCAAAACGTAGTTATCTTTCAGGAAGAAAAAAGAGAGAGAGAGCAACAAACTTGTTAAAGTCAACGCCAAGTGCGTTTGCAGATGACCAAATTAGCGACACTATTAACTCGTGGCGCCATCTCCCGATAGGCGCAGCAAGCAGACGGCGCACTCATTGTCTGCTAAGTAAGCAAGCAAGCAAGCAAGTTAAGTGGACCAAAACCCTTTTAGAATAGAGCTGTCGCTTTTGAGAGTGCATCTGGTACCGTAGTAAACCAAAATAAAGTCACTTCTGGTGAGCACTGCTCAGGGCACAGCACACTGCACGATCTCAAGCGTTTCAGAGTCCCCTTTTGGTACTGCGGCAAAGTCTTTCCCATGCCACCAGGCGGCGCTTCGTGGCTTCTGTCATCTTTTGCGCATCCTTCCGAGTGCAACGACGATCCTCGGGATCTTCGGCACCTTCGCCGCCCTCATCCCCATAGCCCAGGGCCCGTTCCAGACTTTCCCGTTGGTCGTTTCGCTCAGTGTACGCGAGGCGTCTGCATTGGGTCAAGACCGTGTTCCTCAGTCTCCTCTCCTTTATCGCAGAGTGTGCATTTTGGGTCGTCACCGTAAAGTTCGTATTTCCGCCTCTGAGTCAGGAGGGAATCGGTTCGAGGTTGAAATAACAGTGCACTGGCTCTATCCCCCCTGTACTGTCCGTATGGTGCCGGTTCACTTTTGTATTTCCTGTAGAACGCTAGACTCTGTTTCTCCGTTGTTGATTTTCGCCATTGTTCAATTTCAGCCTGCGTCACCTCGGCTAGAACCGTCTTCGGCCACTCTCTATCCGTCGTCGCCAGCTGTCTCCGAGTGCTACACTGAATTGCGCATCTATATTCCTTGGTATTTTTATCCAACTTGTTCTTATCCCTGATAGCGGATGTGGAAGTACATTCTTCGTGCGTTGCTCTATTGGGGCATAAACGTAAGCCTACGCATATATGCTAGCTTTGATCTGGCTTCTCTGATTTCGTGGGTGAACCACCTGTTGGGAAGTTGCGCCACAAGATAATAGCGCCGTAGAGTCGCTAAACTTCTCGTCTGCAAACGCACCTAATGTTGATTGCGGCACGTTTGTTGCTTACATTTTTAACAGAAAGAGAACTACGCCTTGAAATTCATACAACGTAAAACTGACCAGCTCAATGCACATTTGATGAAAAGTTTACCTTTCTATGAGCAGGCGGCAACTTTTCCAACCTGTTTTACAGCAGTGCATGGTAGGGTTACCCTACAGCGTGCCACCCCTCCCCCCCCTCCCCCCCCCTCACCCCCTCGCCCCCTTTCCCAACCAACACCACAGCCAAAAAGTACACACCAAAATGGCCTGTAAAAGTCAAAGACTAGAACCATACAGCTGTAATATTTCTCAAATACTTTTTTACTGGTCCAATGAACGCACTCAAATTTAAATTCTCTACTCTCAATAAAACTAAAATGATAATTCATAATTTGATTTTTTCAATGGGGGAGCGGCAGCTGTCTGAGGATGATCGAACGACGGCCATGTTTTTCCAGATTATTCAGAGATGCCGCCCCCAACGCCAACAAGCGCAGGTGAGTGAGCACAGGCATGGGGGGAGCTGGCCCTCACCAATGCCAGTGGAAAAACGCCTCTCGTGTTTTGTTGAGACAAACCAAACTGCGAATTCAGGTGCAGAAAGCAAGAAACAGTTGTTAATGAGGGTAAGTGATTTGTAAAGCAGCATTTAGCGTGCTTATCTATCTCTATCTATTGGGTGACGCTGGCCGTGCTGAAAGCCCGAGCTGAGAATCTAATTATCAGCTTGCGTTTTTGCGGATACGAGAAGCGCGAATCGGAAACCCGCGCTTGAACTGCGCGGCTTGCCGGCATTGGTGGCGCCATCTCTGAATAAACTGGGAAAACATAGCCGTCATTCAATCTTCCTCCAACAGGTGCCGCTCCGCCATTAGACAATGCAGTTTTTGAAGTGTCATTTTCGTTTGGTTGGGAGTAGAGAATGGAAATTTTAGTATCGAAAAGATGGTTTTCGAGAAAAATGACAGCTTGATACGACAAGTCACTAAATTTTGCAAATCATTTTTGTGCGTCTTTTTTTTTTCTGGGGGGAGGGGGGGGGGGGGGGGGAGAGGGGGGGGGGGGGGTAGCGGACACGTTGGAGATGGGCCGACCAACGCCACTTCCGACCAACGAGCCACAAATTAAGTAGAATATTCGCAACACCAGCCTTGTTCATTTAGTCCCCGTTCCTCTATTTCACATTTCGGCCGCCAGGTCGTGTCAGTGTTTGCAGCCCGTTTGGTAGGCTTCCCACTTCACTCCTTCACATATGGAGAACTATCGTCCATTATCCATTCCTCGAATCTTTTTTCAACACCTTAAAAAAAGCCTTATGCACTCACGGATTACCAATCCCTCAGAACACCATAATCTATTAATAGAACCTCAATTTATATTTAGAAAATTTAGGTCCACCGAGTCTGCACGAAGAAACTTTGGACGTCAAAAAATTAAACATGCACTTCCCGAGCTACTAAGTCATATCGTGTCACTAGAAATTGAAGTTGTGTCGTTGAGAAAACGATATATACGCAATATTTATTCAATATTTGCTACTTAAACATACCTTGCATTGTATATATTTGTTTGCTTATTTATTTTATTGATTGATGTCTTTTTATATACCTGCTTTCTCTCCTATCTTGGTGTTGCTTGCCTTGAAGGTGTACCAAGGGCTGGTCAAGCTGCGAAAAGCTGTTTTTTCCTTTGGTTTTTTCCCATCGTTGTGGATAGAAATAAATCAATATGTTTCAATATATTTTATGCTAGGTGGTGTCACCTCTCTTAATTAGAGGGACACTGACAGGGTATATATGCTCGCCAAGTTTCTTATTTGTAGGTGAGATATGAGAGCCCAACTACTCAGAACGCAATTTGAGGCTCGAACTTCGTTTTCTTTCCGCCCGAAAACCGCCGATTGAGAACTGGCCGGTTCGAGTCGCTCTCACTCTCTTCTCCGTAGTCACGTGATGGTTTAAACACAACCACCAAATATAATAAAAGTCGTGGGTTATCGAAGGCCCACATGTAGTACTAAAAATAGATAAGAAATATGATGCCCATTTTTAGTGGCCTCTAACTTAGCCATAAATACGTTGATTGAGAGAAAAAAAAAAAGAGTTGCACAGCCATGACTTCCGCCAACTCTCTCCTCCTCTATATCTCTTCTTCCTCCCCAGTCCAGTTTTGGTTTATGATTCCAGCAGTTGAGTTTTTTTACTTTATTGAAACTATACGTGACGCTGTTGCAACATGTTGATTGCGTAGTCTTCTCACATCATAACGAATCGTCTGGCAAAAAAATAAAGCAAAAGTTTTGGGAAGTGCCAGTGTCCCTTTAAGGGGAAATTCAAGTGGATATTATGATCGTCTATTTATAGTGATAACTCAATCTACTGGCTCTAAGCATCCTAAAGAAACGAAATTACACACATGAGTGGCCGATTTCCTTATTAAAAATTTAATCAAAGATCGTGACGTGCCCCTCTTTCTGCACCAATTGGAGCAGACACCAAGGGGGTGCCGTCGGATGGAATTTTAAATCAATTGCTCTAAAAAGTCTCCTACACCCTAATATTTGACGTTTGCGTTACGATACAATGCAGAACGCGCCTGAAAATAGCAATAATAGTAACTTATTGAATTAAAAAGCACAAAGGACCGACACGGACATGAAGTAGACAGGACAGCGCTATTCTTTGCAGCGCCCTGCGCAAAGGACGGACAGGACAGTGTCTGTCCTTCGCTCTTTTTCATTCAATATGTGAAACCAACTAGCCCATCTGAATATTTTAGTAAATAATAGTAACGTTCGGAATCTCTACGCCATCAACTATTTTCATAGGTCAATTCTGATTCATGTGATGGATATCCGATAATGCCCTCTCCATTGCCCGTGTATTTCTATCGCTGTGAGTTTACTACGATGTCATGTCATCTAGAACTAGTCATTTTTGTTTACTAGAGCCCAACAAACAATATGCCATAAAAAACAAGTTTCTAAAAAAAGCACTTTAGGACCTTTATCTCCTTGCAGTTACTCGCATTGCTACTTGTCACGTGGTGTGCCGCGCACGGCTTTCCTGCGGACTCATCTCTGTTATCGTCTCGGCTTCATGGAATGTATTCCACACGAACATTTGAACCACCCTTTAGACAGGTTTATATAACGCTGCAATGTACGGAAGTTTCTCACGGCTGCCCGATCTCTTGGATATTGTTGATGACCTGCTTCCCCACCATGACGATGGCGAGCTGGACGCAGACTTCGTAGAGACAACCGCCTTCACACTGGAAAGCGAGACGTGTAACAACTTTGTTAGCACCACCACGCACCAAAGGAGTATTCGCTCTTTTCCACGCTTTAAATCTGCGCAGTCGCAACACAGGGAGTGGTCTTTGCTTCCCGCAGCATGGCGGATGCTAGAATGCTCCCTGTAGATATCCTCATTCGCAAAGTCTTAAACGCTTTTGCCTCTTTTTTTTTTAATTAAATATTATCATATGATTTGCACCAAATATACAAGTCGCACATTAAGACAAGTCCTCGCCGCTGTTTTCAGCTTAATCAAAATGTTTAATAATTTGATTAAAAATTAATCAATAAATGCTGACTGCGCTGCCCGTGGTTCATTTGCCTACAAGGAACCGGTAATCGCATAGCGTCTCTTCTGTGTGATATTGGCCCCTATTCGGCCAGAAAACCCACCTGCTCAATCGCAACAGCCTATTTCGTAGAGTTTCCACCATCTGGGACCACACTTTAAGGTCGACACCTCAAAAGTAAATGGTAACCACAAGTGTCATTAGGGTGAGTGCGTCCGTCTGTTTCTTGCTCAGATGGTACAGGGACGTAGCAGCACCACAATCGGATTGAAAAAAAAAAAAACGGAGTGTGTGCACACAAAGTCTCTCGCTTTTTTATCTGCCTATTATATCCCACCAATCAGAGAGACGGTCGTCGTCTGCTCCTTCCGAGGAGGGAACAGCGGCATCAGGGTGAGGCGTTCGCTGGCACCGAGCTCTAGCATCGCCTGCTACTCTCACCAATGGCTGTCTCACCTTTCTACGGCTTGCAAAAATTCGCAGATCCTTTACAAACGACTTAGCCTTGGAGAAATGGGGGCGGAAATTCCTCGGAAAAAGGGGGGGAAAGGGGGGGGGGGGGGGGGGTTACGATGCATTAGTCGATTAACAACTACCAGACGTTCGGAACCCACGGCTGAAATGTTACTTTCTTCACACGGAACAGCTAGCAGCTGGACGAAGGGGGGGGGGGGGGGGGGGGTCTAAGCTTGGTCGCACACCTGATCAATCTGTCTCAACACGCCTCCTCTATCAGGCCGGCTGCCACTCCTATTCACAATGGGAAGCGTTTTGGTTGATTTGTACGTCGAATACCTGTGAACGTTTTTGTTCTACCAGTTTAAAGAAACCATGAGTGCGTGTGTGGAGGAACCGACTCACTGCGCCCCAAAAAGCCCACAGCGGGAAACCGACCCTCCGCCCGTTGGGGTTTTGGATCCAGTTTTGTCATCACCTCCATAAATAGATCGCATTTCGTGTGTGTTGCGTAACGGACTTCGGTAAGTGCCAAGCAGTGGCACGAGTGCATCAAACGCGAAGGGTCTTGCGTCGCCTCACCTTGTCGAGGCTATAGCCGAACAATGTGCCTTCCTTTCCTGGATGTCCGGCAAACCTGAAAGGGGGTGGAATATATATGCTTGAGAACTCCGAGGATACGAGTCTGCAACACAGAATCCGGGATTGCTTTGCCCCATCGCGAGACTGGGATAACTTCTAAGAGCGTATTTCATTATTTCCAGGCCGTCAGTGGCATCGAAATATTATAAATACATCAGAGCATGGTCGAGGAGAGATTTAGAATTTTATTCTTATAGATGTTATACAGTTAAGAATAGCTTTCGCGCGTCACAGCTCAGATGTCTACAACGCACAGTATAGGAACACGCAAATCGAGCAAAATGGTGCTGACCTCCAGAAATTGGGGTTAAAACCAAATGACGTTTTATGTACCAAAGATCGCGCAACAGGTCTAAAACTACACGAGTGAAATTTTAGAACTGGTTCTATTTTTGACAACTTAGACCTCTTTTGAACAATTTAGGTTGTCTACAGCCTGTCATATCGAAACTATAGGGAAACAAAACGCCCAAAGATCCGCATTTTAAGAGACGTCATAATGCGAAACACCTTTTCAAAGACCCCACGAACCAAAGGTATCGCGACGCTGCCAAACCTATTCGCGATTTGTCCTCACCAGCTCCCAAAATGGCTACCGACGTCACTTGGCAGCAAAACATCTCTGCTAGTGCTATGTCTTAGTTTCGGCGTCTGGGCATTCATAGCCTAGATACAGTTCTCGAAATCACGATCGATGTAAAACTTTACTTTCTTAAATCTAACAACAGTTCCAACCTATTTTGAAGGTTGACTACAAATCTTCGTTTGGAATGTGTCAGTCAACATACATTAGATAATATTTTATACGTTTTAGGTATTCGAAGCTCGTTAATAATCACGTCACGCGCATACGCTGACACCCACGGTGGAAGGGCCTTTTACACTCGTGAGTTTCTCTGCCTCAGTGCGCACAGGTGGTGGAGTTCCTCCTCGCCGACCATTCTGGTCACATATGACCTGCCCGTTAACCAATCAGCGTCGAGCACCTCACTCCTCCTCTGACACCCGCCAACCAATCAGCGTCGAGACTCGTGGCCTCACGAAATGTCGAGCACCTAGCCAAGTAGCGTTTCACGTTAATGAGATGCTAAAAACTTGCCACACCATGCGCCCTTTGAGCCGTCGCCGACTACAAGCACATTTTTCTCGATGCTCGAACAAACGTAAAAATCGAGAGAATCGTACTGGGGAGAACAAATTACAGCGTTCGCAAGTTTCTCACCTGCCTTTGAAGAAGGCGATGTAGATGAGAGAGGAGTAGGTATTGAGGAAGGTGAACAGAAACATCTTGAAGGTGAAACTGTCCTCGTATTCCCGTTGAGTGCGGGGCCTCTCTGGAAACGGTCGGACATCGACAAAAACTGACTTAAATGCCTAAATGTGATAGCCCTTACTAGCAAATAGCGAAGCGATTGGCCGCGGCAACTGACCGATATCTGTCAGCCGGGTGGCTAGTCTGCAGTAAACCTAGAAAAGATGAAGAACACAAAATTATTGTTTTCCCGTTTCAATAGACTTTTACAAAAAAAAAAAAAAAAACATCCTGGTTTTTGTTTTCGTTTACTATACTAGTCACAAAATGAGAAGAGTTGGAAGTGTCTTTCGAACGCCCGTTTTAATTCGTTTCAATAATACTTAAAACACGTGCGTTAATGAAAACCGATGGCGGTGACAAGATTATCTGAGGTCTTAATTTCGTAGCCATTTGAGTGTTTCGAGCCGATATAGCTTCCCTCCAGTAAAAAAAAAAAAAAAAAAAAGAAAACAATACAAAATGAATACGTGTCGTTTGTACCTCGCTGGTTGGCGCTTGAGTGTAGCCACCGTAGTATAGCTATCGTCACTGACAGTTCAAGAGACGCAGGTCACGACGTATTATGTTTTTTGTTTTACTTTTTTACTTTTTGATTCGTTGTTCAGCGTTTTTGTCGTCTATTGTTGCGCTGTTATTGGCTGCAGAGCCATAACAACACGCTCGGGACTCGCCACAACTTAATAAACACCCTGTGTTTCTTAAATTGTCGGTGAAAATTGTCGCCATAAAACAATGAAGCTCAAAATCGATTACAAGATTACTTTAACACGGAGTTTTCAAAAAGCGAATGGCGTTTTTTTTTGTTTTTTTTTTTGCGTCCGTATTGTCATGCAACAGTAGATACCGGGTGCTTTCTTAGTCACGAGTGATAATCCCAAGGGCAACTCTATGATTACCTTGTTCATGAGCAAGATGATAACGAGATTAAGGAGCGAAGCCGTGACGGCCGTCGTCACGTGGGCGAGCGCTCGCCAGTTCCGGTCACGGGACAGCAGGGCCACCAGGATGATGCGGTAAGCGATGATGCCGAACACCGTGCAGATCACGAGGCACAGCTGCAGCGGCAACCCATATCGTCAATCACCAGCGTAAAACGAGAAAGCTTGAAGCTCTGTGAGCTAGCAGTCCTTGTCCGCAAGTATAAAAAAAATTCCTTGGGACCATAAAACGATGTTCAGTTGCACTTGCAACAACGTCATACTAAACACTGGTTTCCACACTTGCGTTTTACCACGATCGACTGCTCTACAACCGGCCGTTTCGCCGCTTGTGACTGCTCACCGCCGGCTGCTCTGCATGCGCAGCCGGTCGTGCACAGACACAAGCGGCTTAAAAACCGGTTGTAGCGCAATCGGTCGTTGTCAATCGCAAGCGTGCGAACCAGCCTTGACGTCAAATGTGCCGTAGCTATTAGCGAGATCACACGGGAGCGTGCGTTTCAGATCCAATCGTGCATAGGGCTGTCAGATAAGGTCAAGTTCGTCTTCGTTAAACTGTAGAGACCGGTTATAACGAAGTCAGTTATAATGAAGAAGCGGTTACAACGAAACGATCACGATTTTCCATTCCCTTTTGCACTACGTTATAACCGAAGTCGGTTATAACGAAATAGCGGCTACAGCGAAGCCATAACGATTTCCCATTCCCTTTTGCACTTGGTTATAACCAAACTCGGTTATAACGAATTAGCGGATATAGCGAAGTGATTTCCCATTCCCGTTGCCTTCGTTATAACCGGTCTTGACAGTAAGCTACGTTGTAGATTCGGGAGGCAAGCACAAAATGTCTCTTTGCCGGAAAATGTCGCACTATAAAAACACCAAAAAGCTGTCCAGTTAGAAATGATTTCTTATATTGTCTGGATAATTATGGAGTCAGCAAAATATCAAACGTAAGATGGTGCATTTTTATTTCATCGGTACCATGAACAGATTCACGTCATTCATTGTTTGGAGTATGTGCTGATAAGCAGCGCTGCATCGTTGCGATCATACAATACGAACAGGTATATATAAGTAAACGATCAACAAACTGCGCGTGTCATAAGATAATCATAAGCTATCTCCGCATTTGATATCAAACAGATCCTCCTTACCATGAATAACACGACAGAGTTGGCACCGGATATCCTGGCGATTTTCTCCCAGAACGGCACGTAAGGTTCGTAAGTCTAAAAAAAAGAAAAAAAAGAGAGAGAGCACGATTAGACAATCTAAAAGCAGACACATACACTTTTCGGTTTACATTCTTGCCTTACATTCTCCTCTAACATAGACTTTATTTTTTCCTATATTTACTCTTCCCCTTTTACTTTATTCAAGAACATGGTTGTTACAACACACCCTAGAATAGGAAAAGCCTTGGTGCTGGTGTTTCTACGCCACGTACCGGAGGCGTGCGCGGGTTACGCAGTTAGCCACGAGTGATGACGTCACCGTTCGGCTGAGATTCGTGTCCTCGCTGACTGGACGCGAGTCCCAGCCGAACGCTGGCACAGCTCTCGCGTCCAACCCGTGCGACCTGCGCCGGCCTTTGATAGATGACGTAGACACTCCGGCATTAAGCGGCCTTGTTACCTCGGAAGTTTTTATCTTCTTCTCCTTGTCCTTAACTCCTAGGGGAGCCGAGAGATATCAAAGTGATCACTGCGGCGGGACCGCCCGGTTCAGTTATGGTTGCCTTGCACTCTCGTCGACCCATTTTGCAACACACTCACGCCCTCTTCGTCCCGGTACAGGGTCGGACGGGGGTCGGGGTCTGGGGGCCCTCTTCCCAGCGGGTCCTTCCTGGGTCGTTCGCTTGGCGACGCCCACATTTATTTTTTTACAATAGTTATACCCTAGTTACACGGGCGCTCTCAACTGCCATTGAGTTCAATCACAGTTATCGGCCCCAACTGTGATTGAACTGAACTGAACTGAGATGGTGCTACACGGCTCTCTAGAACCCAGTTGAAGCTAAAACGAAACTAGTTATTGTGCCTCGTGATCAGTCTAATTGTTAAAGTAATCTACTCGGAGAAACATATTTTATTTACTATAAGTATATTGTACATTATGTTCAATACATTGTTGCTTTTTAGCGGCGTTTACATCAGTACCAAAGCAAATGCAAGGCTAAGTTGCGCATATTTTAGGCTAGGTGGAGCTAGCTACAACCCGCTACGATGGGTGCACCCATTACTATCTGTCCATTCACACAGCTGGCCCCGCCGCCATCTTCGCTCGTTTGGTGGCTTGCCGGCTAGCCGGGATCGTTTTAGCGGCAGCTCGGACGCCTAAAGCTATTCCTTCCCGGATATTTTGCTGCTACGATTCTTTCTAGACGCCTCCCCCTGCATTCCGAAACAGTAAGTGCCTCGGAAACGATGGTCGGCGGCAGCGGTCCCGCGGACAGACGCCATGTTACCTCAGTTGGGGAAGTCCGTTCAGTTGAACTGAGGTAGGGGAGCTCAGTTGAACTCAACTGTCATTAGCGGCTCAATGACAGTTGGCGCCGCCGTGTAACTGCGGCCGATCCCGATTGAGTCAACGACAGTTGACTCAATGGCAGTTGAAAGCGCCCGTGTAACTAGGGTATTAGTCCCCGATTGGCTTTTTTCTGACAAATTACCACTTTATCACATGATCCAATTCATTTTTATTAGAATTGGCCTTAAGTCTGCAGTGCCTCACGGCGGGAGCGGACACAGGGGACAATTATTTTACATTCCTTTATTGAGCCCCGACCTCAAAATATGTCCTTAACTCCTAATCGTTTTTTCTCCATAATGAAAGCAAAAGCAGCGCGAAGACGAAGACAAAGTAAAAGGTAACTGACAGGACACAGTACTGTACCCTGTCAGTTACCTTTTGCTTAGTCCTCGTCTTCGCCCTCTTTTTGTTCATATTATGTCTGAATACCTAATAGCCCAAACTGCAACGTTAATCAACTCTTTTCTCCCTCCTTCGCTAACCTGTCAATTAAGGAGAAGAGGATGCTCAGAAGAGTATCTTCATTGCTGAAAGCTCGACACAACGTCAACAGGACGACTCCCACTTACCATCGTGACGGGATTAAGCTTGTAAACTGTCGCTTTTGCTTCGTACTCCGGATTGACAACTTCCTGAAGGGCAGATCAATCAAAAAAAAAAGCGTAAAATATATAGTTCTTAAATTTGTGCGATTACATAGGCGTTTTATTTCGACATATTACGTCAAAACGTTACGATCTAAAGAACAAAAAAAAATAATTATAAACACGTGGATAGAAAGATGCTGAAAATGATTGTATGTAACAGCCAAAGTTTTGCTGGACCATGTTTCTTAATCGAAAGGCAATGCAATTTCTCGTCTGTACGATTAGTGTTACTTCTCGTGATCTTTTAAACCACTAGCTTCATATAAGCACATGAGTGCGCAAGCTTACATGCGTCGTGTACATACACGCGGTCAAATATTTGTTCTAAAATAAAAAAAAAGTCAAGACAATCATGTGTCATAAATGATAACACGAATTTTAAAACAAAGGCTCGATGTTTAACATTAGGACGTCAAGAAAGTCCGTTGCATGATTACTTACTTGAGTAGACTTCATCGTAGGCAGGCATGAAAGTAAACACCAAATTATCATGATTTGTTTAGCATAATAGCTTACGTAGGGAGTTTTAGCAGATTGTTCCAATAACCCCGAAAGCGATACCTGATAACAATGCGACGCATGCGCAAAAGCACCGACGGAGTATGGGCTATCGTCACTGCAACGATCTACTAAAACTCCCTAGTATGGAGCTTCAGTAGATGATTCCGATGACCCCGATAACGATACGATTCATGCGCCAAGCCACCGGCGGAGCATCGACTATTGTAATCGGAGTTATCGGAGCGATCTACTAAAACTTTCAAGTATTTCAGGTAGCGCGATCTGTCTCACCGTGATCGTATCGATGTCGGTGAGGTTCCACTCCCAGCCGAGGACAGATTGCCTTCGCTTCCACAACTCGATAAAGATTGTCGCTGCATGGTGGTAAGAAATTATCACGCACAATCAATTTTTATTTTTCTTAGTCCTACTGGCATGTAATAATCTTGACATTAGTTGTCAATGCAGGAGCGTTCGCCATAGATCACATATCAAAACCCGTAAAGACCAACACACCGTTCACAAAACAAGTCCGCGTTTTGCGCCGTGCCGACAAGAGCGACGCCACAGTGGGCTTGATCGTTAGAGCCGCGCGTTGGTGTATACCCGTTTCCCAGCAGCTAGGCTTCAAAAGCTGGTCTGGCCACCATGGGCAAGGAACGCCTTGTGGCGCAAGGTGGCGCGAGCTACCGCCCGTTATGAAGGCTAAAACCGTTGTTATCCATCCATCCAGCCATGTTGAGGCGCCAGTCTTACAGCCGTGGGCACGCCCGGGAACCAGTGAAGTTGCAGCATCAGCCGATAAGAATGATTAGCCACGCCCTCCGTTTCCTAAACTGTCAGTGAATATTCGGGTAGGAACGGGGGGAGAGGAGGAGGTATCCGGCTCTCCCTCCGTTTCTACCAGTATACACGCACCCTCGGCAAGATGGCTGCGCCCAGGGGTCGCACGGGCAAACGTGCACAAACGAACCCATGTTTCTGACGTCACGACAAGGCGGTGGCGCTGACTGTGAACGCGGAGCGATGCTTCACCTCTTGAAAAACAGGTTCCTGCGCATTCGCAGTGCTAAAGGTTCCTGCGGGCAAGCGAGCTTGTTCGTTCAAAACAGTGCGTTTTAACGAACTCTGTTTGAAGCCAATCTTCAAAGCTGAACCGTTGGATTTGTCTTTTAACATGAGGCTCGCTCCAAAGGTTCTGTAAACGTCGCGTGAAGTCCAGGGAGCCGGAAAAAGTTTATTCATTTGCAAGGTTTGACGACAACGGGACTAAGCAGGCGAGCTGGTTATTATAAGACATTCTCCAAGCCTAGACAAAGAGGAACAAACACAAAGAAAGACAAACAAAGATGTCTTGTTAAGAAAGAGTTTACAAACGCTTACAAAGAGGGACAAACACAAACATTCAAATGAGTGTTGTCATTACGGACTCGATATTCTTTCTTTTGAATTTACTTATTACACATTCAAGTGAGTTTCATCGTTACCCACTCAATATCAGTTCTTTTCAGTTTAATCATTACACATTCAAATGAGTGTCATCATTAAGAACACAATATGCACCTTTTTGATCCATTCTTTTGAATTTATATATGCACTCATTATTCATGAAAATGGGTATTATCATTAATAATGCAATATCCGTTCTCTTCAGACATTTGTGTTTGTCCTTCTTTGCGGACCTCCGTCTCGGGTTGTAAAATTCTTGCGAAATTTGCCGACAAAAAAACTGCTTCGAGCTATTTCTAATTTCAGTATTTCGACAGGGTCGAAAACAAAAACAAAAAATTTACCCTCAGAGCGTAAGCATTACAGAGGGGGAAGTGTGTACGCGTAAACTGAGACAGTTTAAACACTTGGGAAAACATAATGACTAAGTATTGGTTAGATAATGAGACAATCTAAGGCGCTTTAAAGAAAGAACACGACCCGTGATTAAGACTATGGGACCAGCAGAAGGTGGTAAATTTAGGAACGGAAGTGGATTTAGGAAGAAAACAAAGGCGTCATACCCCAAAGTGCCATGAAGATTGAAAAGCCAACTGTAGCTGCATTGTCGAACAGGTAGACGATCTGTAAAAAGCATCTCAAAATAAACAGCGTCAAAAACACCATGAACCATTACTGCTGCAGTCCCACTGGCGCTCGAATCGCAACTGCCAAGCGGATCCGCTCGTTTTCATCACCAAATGCGCGTGAATTGGTACTGCATCTTGAACGAACCGAGTTCGCAACCGCTTCGCGAATGGCGGTTCAGCCACCAGAGTGAATGCTGCAGAAGGCTGGTTCACACGTTTAGCTCGCAGCGTCAGATCAGCATTAGGAAGAGCGCTGAAGTGGTGCTGACTTGAACTTAACTTAGCACGCAGCACTGGCGCAAAGGCGACACAGCACCAGCAAGATCAGCGCTGTTTTCAGCGCTCACTGATAGCGCTGAGGAAGCACTGTGGTGTACCCGAGGACAGAGCTTCAGCTTCAGCTAGATTCAAAAATGCAACGAAGCTCGATTCTAGGATATGCTAGGATCAGTGAAGGCTTTGAAAATATTACGACGCCGCTAAACTAAAATATTTAATATGATTGCGTCCGCAACAGACCGCCCAAACAGAAGGTATATTTAAACCCACAGCGCAAGTTGAGATGCCATGTCAGTCAAACACGCGGAGAAGCTCAGTGCGACAACGCAGACTGTTTTTCTAGGCCTAAACATATTTCAAGCCTTATCGTTTGCTGAGCTTCCTTGGCAGATTGGCAGAGATTGGCACTTGCTAGTGCTTTTCGGGAAAATTATACGATCCAGATTCCTTGGGCTGTAGAGGGGAGGATTCCCACTAAAGCTCGGTCGACTCGCTGACTCGCCTTGCTGAAGGTGCACTTGGAGGCGAGGTAATCGTAGGTACAGCGCTTCTTGCATCCGGGGCACAGTATCAGGCGGCCAAAGATGTCAGGATCGCACGTCTCGATCCTGCAGATTAAACGCATCGGCTCTTGTATCCTATCCTTCAAACCCTTACGTTTAGCGTAAGACGACTTAACGGCCGCCGCGAAAACGCGCGGCGCCCGGCGAATTCAGCATGTCAGCAAATCACGCAGAGCTCATCATACTCATTGTACCGGCATGTTATGTTAACGAAAAAAAAATACACGATAATAATCAAAGCTAAAAATAGTAACGTGAAAAACAAAAACGCCTCGAGGCGTTTTTGGAAAATCATAAATGCGTGGAGTCCTTTAGCGAAATTTCGGCTGCAGCTCCGAAGCTTGTAGTTGTACATCGGGGTGTACACCATCTCGTAGTTTGGTGCAGCTGAATTCATCATAGTGCAGAGCTTAACAACTGTTAAAATATTATAACAAAGGTGATGACCGTATCACACATAGTCGGCTGAAAAAACTGTTTAGACGTAAAAAGACGGTCTACGCCATGACAGTGAATATGATTTTTCACCATGCTCGATGTCATAGCTCAAATTTGTATATATATATATATATACCTGAGAAGAAAAAACCCTTAGTGAAAACAGCAACAACGGACGATTTAATGTTCGACGTTTCGGCCGGAGTCCGGCCTTCGTCAGGAAGAACTTTTACAGATGAACGCGGGTGGTATTTATACAGTGTTACTGTATAAATACCACCCGCGTTCATCTGTAAAAGTTCTTCCTGACGAAGGCCGGACTCCGGCCGAAACGTCGAAGATTAAATCGTCCGTTGTTGCTGTTTTCACTAAGGGTTTTTTCTTCTCAGTTATATACCCACGCCTTCGGCCTTCCGCCACCATGCCCGTTATATATATATATATATATATATATATATATATATATACACCATAATTATCATTGTCTTTCTTAGATAGCAGCGGTTGGCTCTCCCAAGGGCTTTGTAACAAAGCACATGCACTGTATTTTTTTGTGTGTGTGTCGGTTTATTACACTCTGTGTACCAAAAGTAAGCTTTTCTCTTTTTTTTACCAAACTAAGAGGGAAGGGTCTGGGTAAACTCACGTGGCCGTGTTTGTGGCCATCTCGAAGACCCCGTACATGGTGGTCATGAGCCCGATCACGGCTGGCAGGAACAGCATGGACGTGTAGAAGCCCAGCCAGGCGAAGTACAGGCCGGTTTTCTCTCCGAAGTAGCGCCTGAGGCACAGAGGGTTTGATTACTACATCGTCTAACTAAAAAACAAACAGGCTCTTCCATATCCCTGCTCTCACCCGAGATGAAAGCGAGAAGCTGTTATACATGGCACTGAATTAAAATCAACTGGCAAACTAATTAGTACCACGTAATGAAAAAAAAAAAAAAAAAACAGCGCAAAAGACAAGGAATTGAAGAAGTAATACACAGTGCCTCGTGTGAACTTCTTCTACTGGTATACCTATTTTTTGCACTGCGTTTTTCTTTCATTATAAATGGTACGGCCAGAGTAAACAGTGCACATGATAGCACGAACATTTTTGTGTCGTTGATTTGTCTCTGGTGATACAATGTTTTCAGTACCTCTTGCTTTACTCTTGCTTACGATCGTACCAAGCACTTACTTGTACAAGGTAACGACTTCAAACTAATCTACAAGCACCCGTGTCAACAGTTTTGTATAGTCCGTATCAAGTAAAATTGCTGAACCTACTACTCACGATCTCCCTAAAACTGTTTGCGAGCGCGCGGGTTTGTGTTTGTGTGTGTTTCTGTTTGTGTGCGGGAAAGGGGGGGGGGGGGGGGTTAGTGTGTTAGAACATAGCCGCCTCTATACTCACAAAGCCCGGCAGTTCGACGACAGAGCTATTGAGTGCCCGGTCGCAGGTCTGGAGCGCGAGCATCTGGTAGGTGGTAGCACAGAGCATCAAAGAGCCATTTCTCGGGAAACTTGGACGTCAGCGCACAGCTTTCGCAGCGGCGAGGACCCGATACACACTGGTTCGCTCGGGAGAAGTGTGTTTCGGCGTCTCGCCGCAGCGGGGCACCAGTCACGTGGCTCACCTCTCATCCTTTGTCTGCCGCTCCATCTTTTCCATTTCGGCGACCGCTTCTCGTGGCGATCTGCCAGGCTTTGTCAATATATAGGAGGCTACGGTTAGAACTTAGAAATTGGAATAGAGCATCTCAGGGTAAGCAGAGCGAAAGCTCGCGCTGCAGTAACTTGGGGATCCTGCACTAAATCCCCCCCCCCCCCCCCCAACCCGTTTCAATCTGGGTGAGCATTGTTTCTGCGTGATGTTGTACTGCGTGATGCGCGTTAGAACCCAGGTTAGCCGTCATGCTGTGCTGGCCACGTTTCTCATCTACAGCGAGGAATGCTGTCGCCATACTGTGACGCACGAAGCAATGCTATAGAAACATCTAATGTATACTTTCGTTTCTTATTATATGTCGTACACACCGCAAATACCACCTTATTACTGAAATGCCGGAGGAGTAGAAATCAGACAATTATTTCACACCTACTGAAAAAACGAAAGAAATATACAAAATAAAAACGCACAAAAGCGTAGTTTTAAGATTTCTAAGGTGTTTTAAGATTGCAGGCATCTAAGCATGGTCATGTGCCTAGAAGTCATATTCCGGTTGGACTGTTTAGGCGTCTTACCATTTTTTTGAGCGCAGCACTTAGGCACCCGTTTCCGGTTTGAGCGGTGTCGCCGTCGCCGTCGGCATCGGCGTAACCGTGCGGTGCATTATGGGACATGTGACGTCACTGATGACGTCATCAGTGACGTCATCGGCATCCGCATCGTCATTGTCCCTGATGACGTCATCAATAACGTCACTGATGGTTGGTAACTGTTTACGTAAGAGCAGTTCACGAAAGTTCTCAAGATACGGTTAGTGCAGGGCAATCCCGTATCAAGGGGAACGTTTTTCAGGCGACAAGCAACCGTACACGTTTTTCTGCGCTGGCAAACAAAGTGAAAACTTGCCATTTTCGGCAATATCGACTCGATAAACAAAGAGGGACGTCATAGTGTCATCATTAAGAGCGCGTAGTGACGTCACTGATCACGTCATCGGCATACGCATCGTCACTGATGACGTCATCAGTGACATCAGTGACGTCATCAGTGACGTCACTGATGACGTCATCAGCATCCGCATCGCCATCGTCATCGTCACTGATGACGTTATCAGTGACGCCACTGATGACGTCATCGGCATCGTCATCGTCGCTGGTGACGTCACTAGTGATGATGACGTCGTCAGTGACGTCACTGATAACGTCACAGATGACGTCATTGTCACGTGACCTCATATGCGTCACGTGACCCCCGTGAGGTCACGTGACCCCGGTGGCATCACATGACCCCCGTAAGGTCACGTGACCCTTGTGAGGCGACGGCGACGACGCTCGGAGGGAGGAGTAGCAGAAAGGATGAGGAGGTGAGGAGGAGGGAGGAAGGATATACCTTCCCCTCGGTACCCTTCCCCTCCTCCTCCTCAAGAGCTGCGCTCTAATTCGGCGTTACAGGGAGTTGTAAACGGCTTTCATTTTTTATTGATTTCCGCCTGATGATATCACTAGAAAGCAATTCAGCGGATCGCCGCGATCCTGGTGGTGTTACAACACCGGAGAAGGATGCAGCAGGCTCCTATTTAGCCCTAGCTCGCTTTGCAGACGACCAGGGGACGGAAACTCCAGCAGCCACGGGTTGTCATTCCGCGACGACAACGACGCCTCCGTCCTCTCGCCTTCTCCGCCACTTCCGCAACCAATTCTGCCAGGATCGCCACAACATGCAGACTCTATTGGCGCATTTGGTTGCCACTTCGGAAACGCTTCGAAGCGCGGGGTTGTACTTGCAACTCCAACGGTGCACACTTAACCCTCGTTCCTCCGTTTCACATTTCGCCCGCTAGGTGGGGTCGATTTTGGTTGCGCTCTAGGACTGGTGCTAACCAGAGCCCCTCTCCTCTCTATCACGTATTTTCCGCTTGGTTGCGCTGCTTACCTAGGAGTTGTCTCAAGAGTCTAGATTTAAAAGAGTAGAGCAACTCCAACCATGGCGAGCGCTACCCCACATAGACCGCAAGAAGGATAGCCGACGGATAGGCATAGTCCAGCTCGGAGGCGCTGGCAAACGATCGACGCAATCACCTCCTTCTCGCAGCTTCTATTGTAAACGCGGCCCGTGAACCACGTGACCACAATCGAACAGCTGGAAACGCTCTCGAATTCGAGGCACTATACTCGTATTCACTTCAAGAAAGTAAGCAAAGTACGGCTCATTGCGGAACATTACTAATGTGCCTCTTAGATTAGCATTATGTTATTTTATCGAGACGTACACATTTCGAACGCAAACTTCATCGTTTCTGCCCCGCGACAACCAAATCTTGTAAGAACTAATTCGCACAGCAAAGGAATAATTCAAAAACCTTTCTTTCCTTCTTTTTTTTTTCTTGATGTGACGAGTATGGAATTGCCCATAGGATGCTAAACACGCAGGACTGAAGAAAGAATAAACAAGTAAGACACGAACGACACAACCACATCATGAAATATGTGGTTGCGTCGTCCTTGTCCTCACGTGTTCATTTTTTCTTCAATCTTGATCGGCACCAGCACGCCCTTCCTCCATCAAAACACACCAGCCGAAGAGGAAATGCAAGCACACGGAGAAGGCCAAGCGCGAGTATGTTGACTCACCTTATGAGCACCAACGGCTGCTGTTTGTACCATGCCGCAGGACGTGCCCACTCGCTGTACAGCAGCTGCGAAAGAAATCGTTTCGAGAACACTGAATCGTGGGGCGAGAGTTTAGCCGATCGATTCTCCACGCACTTCGGATGGAGTCGACTTCAGTCCGTTCTTTTCTCCCGTAACTTCACAATCGATGCCACTTGCCTGACCACCTGATGGCAGTAATTGTGTTTCGATTTTGCTGCATTAGTCGATCGATATGGACCATCTATGAGAAGTCTGTCATTTCGTTGTTCCTTCCTCTTTTTATTGTTGTCGTGCAAGAGTGGAAGTTTCGAGTGTCTGGCATTCTGATGCCACGTCGACTCGTCGTAGGGACATCTTTATCTATCGCTGTTTTCGGAGCCCAAGCACTTTATACATCAATGGCGTGCGAAAATCGACTTTAGTTGGCGCGAAAAAAAAAATATGTTGACTTTCTTTCGATTTATTTATGCAATCTGGAAATGTATAAGAAATTATTTATTTTCGCGGTTTTTTCTTTTAGAGCCCTGATTAGTGACGCAACGTGACACATGATTTGGGTACGTGTGACCTGGTCCCGTGACGTCACGGCGTCAAGTCGCGGTGTCAAGTGGCCTAACTATTATCACGTGACCTGACGTCGCACGACGTGTTCACGAGTCGTCACGTAACGTAATTTAAGTCACGTAACCTGGCGCTACGGGACGTAGTCACGTGATGTGTCAAGTGACGTCACAACCCCTGCTAGCAATTCCTATACTCGACTGTGCCCCGTCACCTGCCACGCAACGCTCGCAAAATTAGAGTTAACTTCCCGGAAAAATCCCATTCTGCATTAAACTTAACCCGGCAATGGCGTCAGGGAGTGCCTCGACCGAAGGTGAGTGCCATCATAGTTGAAGAATTCTAGCTTCGGGCAAGATAATACGTTGCTCCACCTACACGTCACGCGTACGGCCGGAGTACGGCGCTCTCGTCGATTCAACGGTAAACTGATCTGTGTCTTGGCACGCCGAAGAAAGCGATGAATTGTATCAAATGTCAGTTCGAGCTAAATAATTTGAGAGCCTTCAGGGGTGGTCTGACTAAACAAATAAATACATTCTGACGCTCTAGAAAAACTAAGGAGCATCGATGGACGGTTCAGCAATCAAATGCTCTCAAGATATGCAAGTGGGAGTTTCCCGTTGGGCACTAAGTATTTTAATTCTCTTTAGACTTTTTTATAAGATAACCAAAAATTAATTTTCTTTATTCCCAAAATAGTTGATGGTTGGTAAGAGTTTACATAACAGGCAGTTCACGCAAGTTGTCAAGATACTTTCAGTACAGGGCAACCCCGTCTCAAGGGGAACGTTTTTCAGGCGATAAGCAACCGTACAAGTTTCGCTGCGCTGGCAAACAAGTAGAAAACTGCCATTTTCGGCAATATCGACTCGATAAGCAAAGAGGGACGCAATAGTGTCATCGTTAGGAACG